GAGAGAGAGAGAGAATTCTACCTCGAATTTCTGAGCTAAGAAATAGACGTCCGCATCGATGAGTCATACGTACAACCATAATACGTTACTGCTATCTTTACGTTCCTCCAGATTTAGCTGGCAAGTTAACAAGAATCGTTGCATGATAGGACGAGGGTGAGCTTATAATAAAACTATACATACGTTCTTAAAATTCCCCCATTGACAATCGTCCCGTAGTTTTTCGTATAGTTCCATCCACTTGTCCCGACCATTGCCGCCCACCCTCTCGCGCACTCTCGTAAACAAACGAAAAAAATTAAAAAAAAGGAAAAAAAGAAAGGAAGAAAACGAAAGGGAAGGGACGGCGAGATTACCTCTCAGGACGAATCCATCCAGTCGCTCACGCACTGGTGCGTAAACCCGTGGCGGGCCAGACAGATCGCGACACTTCACGACAGGGGTGTCTCGTATGATTTGATAACGGGTATGCACGGGTGTATATACGTGTCTTCCGGAAGAGACGCGCGTCGACTGAACGCTCCCTTACGAGGGACGGATTCGCGTTGGAACGGCGACAACGGCGGCGCCACGACGCAACCCCTTTACCAGCCAGCCAGCCAACCAGCCGGCGAACCATCCAGCTAGCCAGCCACCCAGTGGTTCTCTCGCTCCCCGCAGTATCGTCGCAACCCCCGTATCGGCTGAGCAACCCCCACCAATCCAGCATTGAAAACTACGCGGAGAGGGGTTGCGTGTATCGCCACGCGCCCGACAAACTGGAGGGGGTGTCTGCTGGTGGAATTACTTCGCCTGGCAAAAACTCACCCTCTCGTGTCTCCCTCCCTCCCTCTCTCTCTCTCTCTTTCTATTGCCCTTAGTTGGAAACGTTGGAGTGGAGGAGAGTTTAGGAATATGACGAGCGAGGAGGAAGGGGTGTCAGGGGCCGATGTACCCCGATCTGAAGGTCGCCAGGCACAAAGGAGATAAATTGGAATTTGGGGTTGTTCTCTCTACCGATTTTCTTTTATTGGTTCGTCTGTAAGCGGCTGCTATTTCTTGCGGAAGCTACACGTAGCGAATGTTAATGATACCGATTAAAAGAAACACTCTGCCATTTTTGGATGTGTTTTTTCCTTTTTCTTTTTCTTTTTCTTTTTTTTTTCCTTTTTTCGTTTCAAGGAAAATGGAAATCATCGAGGGTGGAAGTAAGGCTCTCCAAGGTATTATCGTAAGACGGACAAGATTTGGAGGGGTTTAGGGAGGCCGATGCACTCTCTATCTCCATTACGAGAAGGTCGCAGTGGTGGTGGTGATAGTGGCGATGGGTGGTGGTGGGTCAGAGATAAATCGGGATTTCGTGATTGTTACCGATTCCAAGACGAGAGGATCGTTTCAAGTGTTTAGCTCCCTCCAAACTATGATTGGAAACTTGAGAATTGGAGAGCGGATTTCTGCGAGTGAATTAATATTTAATCTTCCGAGTAGGTTTGCGTTTAAACAAGGGATCGAGAGTCCGCATTATACCGTGCATTATTATAATAATAATAAATTTGAATGCAAGAATTTGAAAATTGAAATTTAAAAATTTATTACATTACAAAGTTCGAAGTAAAAGAAGAAGAAGAAGAAGAAGAAGAAGATACATCCGAATCGTAAATCTAAATGGAATAAAATGAAAAATGAATATTTCATGGAATTAAAGATTAGAAGTTTCGAAAGCGAACAAGTTTCTCCCCTTTTTTATACGGGAGAATGAACTTGGAGCGGAGAGAAGAAACAGGAGAACTAGAAGACGGGGGCAATGTACCACAACTCGAAGGTCGTGGCACCGGTATGGAAAAAGTAAATTAGGATTGGGTATCCACGAAATCTGTCGGGCTTTCGGCCGAATAAATCGAATCGAGGGGATGCTTAAGTCGTCTCTCTAGATACCGAGAGAGAAACAGAGAGAGAGAGAGACTCACCCTTCCGTTTATCGTCCGACAATTGATAAGACGCGGATAAACGGAATAAAGGGAGAGAGAGAGAGAGAGAAAGGGAATATCGCATCTATTTCGTAAGCAATTTCGATCAAACTTTTATTAATTAAAAAAACAAAAATAAAAAAAGAAATAAATAAAATCGGTTGATATTTTTACGATTCCCTTTAATCGGAATGAAAAGGGAAAGAAATCACCAACTTGGGGAAAGATTTAAATTTAAAATGGTGGGACTCTCGAATGAAGTCGGCGGCGGCACGCTGTTGCCTGCTGAGAATTCCTCGTTTTCAAATCTTTATGAACGCTCGTCGTAATATTTGACGACTTATAGGGGGGAGGAGGGGATCTCGCACCTCGAAGGTAAAATTAAAAGCTTTCCCAAGCACCCCGTAATCTCTTTCCCAGACAATAAGAAAGATGATACTCGGCCGGTCGCGAAAGTGGAAAATTGTGGAATTGTTAACTTCGCCTCAATCGAAACTTTTCGGTTGAGTTTTGGTTGGACAGTGTGAAAATGGTTGGCGACAGATTCCTCGCAGATGGAATAAAAGCCGTCCACGCGTTCAACCGAACTTTCTTCTGCCGTGTTGTGGAAGATAAATTAGAATCTGTCACGGTGCTAGGAGAAGAGAAACGAATTCCCTATTTCCTCTAAGAAAACGAGCTCAAAGAAGATTTTGGAAGATAACCGCGCGAGAGATAGATCCCATCGACTCGTGAATTATTTGCCATGGAGAAAAATTTTACTCCCGATTATCTTTATTCCCGAATCATGGTGTACCAATTATCATCGATTGATTGAAAACTCCGAGAAAATATCCGAGGAAGAGAGAAATTAAAAGCGCATAAATTCTGAACAAATCCGATCGAGGAAAACCATCGCGAAAAAAATAACCATCCTCGAGTTATCTTTTAAAGCTGCAAGATTAACGACCCGATCGCGGCTTCCCCGTAATTCCCCGGGCACAAATGCAAACGTGCATTTCAAAAAACCATGAATATTCATCCATCCTTTAACCTGGAACCCCTCCGATGAATCTTCGACGGTTGTCGGAGGTACAAATTCCGGCCCGGTTCGCGGATCGCAGTCCACGTTGAAAAATAAATTCTGCTAGAGGTTGGATTTGGACGGGGATGGCGACGGGTTCGGGCTCCGATCGGGACGAGATTGGTGCACGGGGCACGAAGGAGGGAAACCGGTTTCTTCGGAGCGGGTTGAAGGATGTTGGCTGGAGGATATAGGATATAGA